TTTTTCTTTTCCCTTTTTTTCCTTTTTCTCTCTTCCTTTCCTTTTCCTTTTCTTTCTCTCTTCCTTTCCTTTCTCTTTTCCTTTCCTTTCCCTCCCACTCCCTTCCCTTCCTTCCTGGCGTCTGATGGAGAGGACTCTTTTCCTCCTTGCCCCCCTCACCAACATCTGCTCTGATGGCAATTATTGCTAAAAAAAAAATCAGATGCTCAGGCATGAAAATGTGCCGCTCAAACACTATACTTTTCTGCACACACTAAAAAAAATTAGAGGGAACATTGATGCACGCCGGTCAGCTGGTCTGTGGGTTTCCGGTGCATGCACATTCCACTTTGGGCACTCAGTGCTGAAAAGGTTCACCATCATTGTTATAGATTCTCTACTTCTCAGAGCTAATAAAAATTTGTAACTTGTTTTGTAGTAACCATGGCTTTAGGTGTCCTGTCTTTATATTTGTCTTTGATCTGAGCAAAATGAAACTGGCTCCTTCTTGCTTGCTATAAGAATTGGATAACCCAGAAGTAAGAAGGCCCTTGCTTTCTTCTGCCTGGAATCCTTTTACAAGGCATCAGACTGCTAGTCAACCTCCTTCTAGAATAATAAAGTAAGCATTTAGCATGATATGGATGCTATGCAAGGATTGAATCAAATAAGGGGATACAATTTGGGAAGCGAGGAATCAATAGCACAATCGGCCACTTAAGTCATGTCTAGCTATGGTTTCTTGCTGACCGTCAGTGTGAATCAGTATCTCAGGTGCCTTTGCAGTGGCCGCCCTGTTAACTTAGTAATTTTGTGAATTGAAAAAAAAGAAAAGCAAAACTTTTCTTTTGTTAGCTCGATTACCCTATGGTGATATGATTGTGCCCATAAGATGTAAAAGTTGAGAAAAGACCAAGACGCTGTATGGAGTCATTTGGCAACCAATCCTGCCTTCTGTCTCTTACATACAAAGGCCAAGATGTGAGACATTAATCATCAATTATTTCCCTCTTTGGGCTTGAATAATGCACAGAGTTTTGATATAGACAAAGATATGATAAAGCATGGGTACAGATTGTAGCAAAAATTCTCTAGTTGAATTCAGTTTAACCCAGGGGCTATGTTTAGGTAATTGTACTTCCCTTAACCAGATCGTATCTTTGCATGCCATGCAAATGAGCTTTCTGTATGAAAGTCTGGAAAAGGAGTTGCCCAGAGAAAAAAAACAGATAGGGCAAAGAAACTTGGATGTAGAAAAGAAAAGCTAATGTTAGTCGTTTTCTTCCTTTTCTTTTAGAACTCATCCAAAAAAAATTAAAACAAAATATCATCTAATAAAATCTTTAAAAAAACAATATTACTATCCAAATAACATAAATTAGTCCTGTAAAAAGACTGACTTAAACATCAATCTAGTATCCTCAACTTAGTTTTAATTAATGTGTGTCAGAATTAGTGAGGTTGTAACCATTGCTAAATGCAGAAAGAAGGAGTCTTCTGAATCTTTCCCAGGGTGATAACGAAGCTTCGTTACTCTTGCAGAGTACAAATAGTCCTCAACAGTCCAACCCAAAACTTCTATTGCAAACAAATTCTTTTTTATTTTTTAAAACAAATAATACAAAAAGTACGTATACATCTGAATACAAAAAAAGAAAGAAAAAAGGGGAAAAACACATATTACAGTGCACCCCCATCCCCTGGATACCCCCCTTCATCTATAACAACTAAAAGATATACAGTATATTCCAATTGTGCCCTTATACCCTCCAAATCAACATATATTGAGTAGGTTTATTCCTTTTGCCTTCCACGAACACTGATTATCCAAACAACACAGTTGTTAATGGATTTTTGCCCCACTTTACAACCTTTCTTGCCACAGTTGTTAAGTGAATCACTGCAGTTAAGTTAGTAACATGGTTGTTAAGTCAATCTGACGTCCCCATTGACTTTGCTTGTCAGAAGGTCACAAAAGCCCAGGAGACTTCACCGTCATAACTATGAGTCACTTGCCAAGCATCTGAATTTTGCTTTATGTGACCATGAGGAATGGTCGGAAGTCTGAAAAACAGTCATAAGTCACATTTTTCAGTGCCATTGTAAGTTTGAACGGTCACTAAACGAACTATTGTTAAGTCAAAGACTTCATGTAAACCCCTCTTGAATACCTAATTTAATATGTAGTTCTTTAAGAGGTCAGACATCAGTCAGAGGAAAATCCACTCTCATGGAAATAAGCTTTGTTACGCAGCAACATCTGCGTTCGTCCTGCCAGGAATGTTGCAAGTAACTTTTATGTTGAATGTCTTTCAGTCTATAGCATCACCAAATATTATAGGCTCAACAGCAAAGTCATTGATTGCTGGATCATCAGCAAAGCTTCCTCTTTCTGACTCTCCCATGATGGCTTTCACTTCAAAACCAGTTGCTGAAACAGATGACTCCAAAGTCACCCAGCCCTTCAGTTATACAGTAAGTACAAAATAGGCTAACGCTGCAGAAATAGTAATTTCCTAACCGTTTGATCTAAGTCTAAGTCTATTTTCTTGTCAGGAAATGCTGGAAAACGTGAAAAAGTGCAAAAACTTCCTTACAACACTAATAAAACTGGCCTCCAGTGGACCTCAAGCACCTCAGATGGGGCAGAATGTGAAGCATCTGGTTCAAAGGCTGTTGGTAAAAGCTCATCTGCAACTACCCCTCTCCTGATTCTGAATGTCTTTGCCCAGGAATGTTTCTGGTGGGACTTCATCTGTGTAGAAGGTTGCAGTTCGAAGCTGCTTGGTTGGAGTTTCCAAACTTCCTGCCCATTGTAACGTATCTGTTATCTTCTAGTCCAGAGATGTCAAACTCGGTCCGCAATCCAGATGCACCTTGCACTGGCCAATCCCCCATCCCCGTTTAAACGAAGGGGAGGGGTCACGATATGTCACATGATGACAACCTGACACTGAGTTTGACACCCCTGTTCTAGTCCTTACATGTGCAGTATCAAGCAGAGTTATATAATGTAGCCCTGTTGGCATCTTCATGGCCTCCAGGAGAAGCCATAAAGACATTACAGCCATGTTGTGTTTAATCATACTGTTATCACACAAATGAAATCAATTATTTGCTTGCAACATTTGTATCATTCATATAATGGTGTTGTATGTTGTCATTTCATCACAGAAAATCTCTGTTTATTTGGGCAGTGTTGAGTCACTGCTCAAAGAAAGAGCAACTGGTCCCTAATCTTGCAGCTCAATACTTCTCAACTATAGCAATAGGAGTTAGACTTATATACCGCTTCATAGGGCTTTCAGCCCTCTCTAAGCGGTTTACAGAGTCAGCATATCGCCCCCAACAACAATCCGGGTCCTCATTTTACCCACCTCGGAAGGGTGGAAGGCTGAGTCAACCCTGAGCCGGTGAGATTTGAACAGCCGAACTGCTGAACTGCAGTCAGCTGAAGTAGCCTGCAGTGCTGCATTTAACCACTACGCCACCTCGGCTCTATAACTGACACTAGCTGTGAAAGCTTACACGAGTACCGTATTTTTCACAGTATCTCTCTCTCTCTCTCACACACACACACACACAAAAAAGGGTGAAAAATTTGGGTGCATCTTATACTCTAAATGTAGCCACGCCCACTTGCTGGCCCCCACCCTTTGGTCTCCAGGCGCTGTGTTTTAGATCTGTTCCAGGCGGCAGGGATATCGCCCCATGCATTTTTGGTCTCTATGCCTCGCGTTTTCAGCCTCTGAACGCTCTGTTTGAGACCCATTCAAGGCTGTGGGGATTGCTTGAGCACATCGCCGTCAATCATCGCCACTGCTCATTGCATTTTCGGCCTTTGCGCATTGCATTTTAGGCCTCTGTGTGCCCCGTTTTTGGCCTCTGCATGTTGCGTTTTCAGGCTGTGATCGGCAGCGATGTGCTTTGGCGATCCCTGCAGCCTTAGAACGGGTCTCAAACAGAGGCTGAAAACACAAGGTGCAGAAGCCAAAATGGTAACCCAGAACAGCTGCTGCCTTGACTTACCACTTCCATGCTTCGCGTGCTTTACTCACTGGAACTCCCTGCGACGATCAACTCTGTTTTTGAAGCTGCATATCAGCTCCAATGAGGCTCATGTGCGCATGCTCACAACCAGCGAATTAATGTGTTGAAGCTGATCAGGCTGTTTGCTAAGGACTCTAGCCAGATGAATACCGATGGATGCTGGTGGGCAAAGGCAGAATTCCCCCCCCCTTATTTTCCTCTCCCAAAACTAAGGTGCGTCTTATACTCCAGAATGTCTTGTGCTCCAAAAAATACAGTATGTTATGTACTTATTTTTGTGAACATTTATAGGGAGCTAATTTTATAAATAACTCTGGGAAGCTAACAACATCACATTATTAGAAGGAAGGGGTGGTTTTGCATCTATACACTAATTGCCTTCGGGTGCCATTTCTGTGGTTTACTTTCACTTCTGCTTGGGGAAGTCAAATCATATTAAAACTTAGCAGTTGCTTTCTGTGGGGGGGGGGAGGATGTTTTTGCCATGTCCAACATTAGATTTGCTGCATGATAAGAGAAGAATTTACCTTAAATACAAAAACATGCTCTTACACTTGCAAGTATGTTCAATAAGCTTGGACTATCATAATAGCTTAAAGCCTGGCTCTGCTATAAATTTGTGTCATTTTGTAAGATGATTCCAGAATAGAGACACTGTGTGAAATAACACCCTATGCTCACATTTTTATTCTATTATAGTGGGCCAGATTAAATACTGACTTTTAGTTCTAGTTATACCATATTTTTCAGAGTATAGGACGTACCTTTTTTCTCCGAAAAAAGAAGGTGAAAATCTGGGTGCGTCTCATACACTGAATTCAGCATTTTTGGCCTCCCGAAATGCCGCTCCCTTCACAAAAATGGATGTGCAGATGGTTTGGGAGGCCTGCAAAGTGATCCTAGGGGCTGGAGAGGGCAAAAACGAGTGGAAAATGCCCTGTTTTTTGTTCGTTTTTGCCCCCCTCCAGCCCCCAGGAGCACTTTATAAGGCTCCCAAAGCATATCCATGCCCAGTTTTTTGCAAAAAAACAGGCCCAGTTTTGCCATTTTTTGCTCGATTTTCCTGCCCCCCTCCATCCCCCAGGAGCACTTTTCAGGCCTCTCAAACTCTCTGCATGCCCCATTTTTAATTTAAAAAAATGAGGCGTGCAGAGGGTTTGGGAGGCCTACAGAGTGCAAAAACTTTTTTTAAAATTTACCTCTTCAAAATTTTGGTGTGTCTTATACCACCTTTATTATTTTTGTAAATTCAAAAGTAAGTACAAACATACCTAATATCCCTTCCTCATCATATTTTTCCGCACAGCAGTAACCCTATGGGGTGAATTGGGTTAAGAGAGAGTGATTGACCCAAACTCACCCAGCTTGCTATCATTCATGGTATGATTTTAAATGTGGGAGTGAGAAAAAAAGGTACAAATAACATGCAAGGATGCAAAACTGTATAGATGGTCCTCGGTTTATGACCATAATGGCACCCAGAATTTCCATCATAAGCCATCATGATAATAAGTCAAGGCACCCACAGGACCAGATCCAATTTTATCACTTTGTAGCTTCATTAAGTGAATGCCATGTTCATTAAGCAAATCAATGTATTCCTATGGGTGTCTTTTTTTTTGCCAGAAACTGGCTGGAAAGGCTAGAAACCAACAAAAATATAGTAAATCATGGTCACCTTACTGCAGAATACTGCAACTGGCTGTAAAAGTGAACTGGTTGCCAAGTGCCAAAATGTGGCTATGTAAGTGCTGGGCTTTTGGGCAGCTGTTGGAACTCTAAAACCAAAGTAGCTTTTTTTATAAGTAGCTTTTTTAGTGGGTCTGTAGTAAATTTTAATAGCCACTAAGTGAGGACTGCCTGTAATTCTTAAATTTCAAACTCATAGTAAGTGCACTGCATGACCACATTAGGTAACCAGCTGTTTTTGCTATGATTGACACTACAATACCCGTACTTCTGCACCCTTAGGCACACTGGACCGAATGGAGGGTAAAATTGAGATCTCTGCAGAGTACCAGGTTGCCCATATCTGGTATATTTGTGTTTAGCCAAATGACAGTCTTTTTCAAGGTGCTTTTCTTATAAACATGTTTTATAAACAGCTTCTTTAAATTTTCCAGTTTCTTGAAACTAGTCGGGAAAATTTTCGTCTTTATATAACATTGTTAATAAGAGAAAATTGGTTTGAAGGAAAAGACCTTCAATATAAAAAAGATGTTATATTGAAAAGGTGTGTTGAAAATGAGCACATTATGGGATTAATTAGTACTGGAATGCAAGGGAATTGAGATTTCCTACTTGTAGGCATGTCTAGTGTGCTACAATTTATTATACAATTTATTTGTACCCATTTACTGTGTTCATATTTATGTTTATACTTATACCTGTTATCTTTTACATGTTTGACAAAGTAAATACACTAAACTAAATTTATTTTTTTACCTAGGAAGCTAAAATTGAGCCAGAAGAATTTACCAAAGAACTATATGTGGAACTAAAGTCTTCTCCGCAGCCAAATCTTGTTCCCTTTCTCAAGGTACATCTTAATGAATAATCTTGTTTCAGGTATCGAGTACTATGATGATGACAATGTCATTTGGAGTTGGGGCATCTGAAAGAACTTTTAGTGACAAGAAAATTTTGAAAACCTTTGCTAATGAAATTCCTCCCTTCCCTTCTGGGAGTTGAAGTCCACACATCTTAAAAGTGGCCAAGTTTGAGAAACACTGAGCTAATCCAAAGCCAAATTATCACTGAATGATTCAAAGAGACACACACTGTTTATTTAGGTGTTTGGAAGGAAGCTAGATAAAGACAAACCACTTTATAAACAATTTCCTTTCAGTTATATTCCTTTCAAATGAGCGCATTTCAGCATGAGTGGCTCTATCCATGAATCTGGAGATAAGGTGCAATGCTTAGCCAAAACCTTATGCCTAGTTATTAAATTTAGGACTGCTTAACGTTTAGCATGTTTTTGACACCATACACTTTTCCCTGTCCAATATATATTTTAAAACTTATTAATCTCTCCTGAGTAAATATCTGTAAGAAAAAGATCACATTTCCACCTTCCTGCACAGATGACAACAATCCTTAGTCTCGACTGAAGCTTATGTAATTGAATTCAACCCAATACGTGATTTTCCCAAACTCCTAGTTATCTAAAACTGTCAGCCTTTCTTCATTCAATAATCAGGAAAGAAAACCACCGGACTCCATTTTGTTGAAATCAAGTGTACTTTTACTAATTATAAATGAATAGTTGCAAAGCTAAGCTAAGTCTGGTTAATTAGGCATGAAAGGGAATAATATATTGTATAATTCATTTCCCTCCCCTTGGCATCCCCGTGCACAGTCCAATCATAATTCTCCCAAATGTCAGGTGTGAGATAACTTCAAAAGGCATCACCAGGATGGAATGCTGAACCGTTGGCCTTGGCGGGAAACACTCCTCCTCAACATGCGCAGTAAGGTGGACAGTTCAGCGTCTAGAAACTTCCTCCAGCACAACAAAGATTCCCCTCCCAAATACCATGCCCCACGTTCCCCGTTTCAATGGCAGCCGAAGCAGCAGCTCTTATGTATGAGAGATGCAAAGAATATTTGGCTTGAGAAAACAACAGCCAAATGCTACTTTAAATTTGTAATATGTATGCGTAATTTAAAGTTGTAAAGGGTTTTACAAAAATTCTGACAATTATATTATTTCAAATTACTTTAGTAGTGTATTCTGTAGTAAAGTAATGGGAGCTCACTCCGTTACGTGGCGCTAGGGATTCGAATCACCAAACTGCCAACCTTACTGATTGACAAGCTCAGCGTCTTACCACTGAGCCACCGAGTCCTTATGAATGACTGTAGAGATGGAAAGGCAAAGAGTTTGATTCTTGGCAAGCTGTTTTGAATATCATTTAACATAAATTTCATAGATTAAGCAGGCCTTTCCAATTTAGTTATTGTATTGATGACTTTGGAAAATATTTGCTTCTGAAAGATATGCTAACGTACTATAGTGTGGCATGGGAACAGCAAAACATACTTGGTCTGATTGAGGTTTTTTGTCATCTTTCTTGCCTAGAAAAGTATACTCTCCTTACGGCAATTAATGCCTAATACAGAGACCTTTATAGAACAATGTCTTCAGCAATCTGCCCCTCAAACAGCTTCTTCTACTTATTCCACTGCATCATCAACTTCTTCCACAGTTGCTGATGGCACTTTGGCCTCCTCTCAACCTGCAACATCAGTCCCCAGCTCTCCACTTCAAATATCTTCTCCACGGACATCCATTTTGGTACCCTGCACGACTACAAGAAGTGATTCTGTGTCTCTTCCACTTGTTGAGGCAGCTTGTGCTTTGGCTGCAGGAGCACTCTCTTACCAAGATGACAAGTCCATCCTCTCCACTCAACTGATTGGAGGAATCAATACCATGAAGGCCATACAGACAACTTCCACTACAGAGGAGACGGGAACAGTTTCTCTTCAGGTAGCAAAGCCAGACCCAACATTACCTTCAACTACTTTTACTACTAGTTCTATGAAGTCAGCCGCATCAGCTGGGATGTCGTCATTTGAAGTGGCAAAACTGCCCTTGGCTACTACAGCAACCTCTGCTACATCAGTAACCACAACTCTCCAATCTGTCCTGCCTATCACTGGGGCGCCAAGCGCTGTACGGGTTCCCCATCCCAATTCTGCCCTTCCCCAGCCAATTTGGAGTTCTCTGGCTGGAAAGGTAAAACAGTCGGTAAGTGAACTTGGCTTGATACTTCATCCACAATGTTTTGAAATGTGTATTGCAGAATCTGGACCTTTTGAATTGACTTATTCTGAGTAGTACAATTCAGTCAGCAATTCACATAAGCATCTGCAACAAGCCACCATGGTGAAAATTATGATGACATGCAGGCTGCCCTCATGTACTAGTGCCCTGACAAAAGTACATATGTAGTTTCGTCAGTCTATCCACCCTGGGGCATTTTATGAATTCTTTCCTCCTTCAGTGAAATTTATGAACACTTATAGCAGTTATATACTTGTTAGATACTGAAGGTCTTGTTATTGTGATGGGAAACAAATTTAATAAATAAATGTGCCTTAACATGTGGCACACAGGTAGTCTTCAGTTAATGGCCATTTATTTAGAGGCAATACTGAAGGAGGAGGCTTAAGCTGGTCCTCAAAGTTTATTTATTTATTTTAGTTTAGTTTATTTGTCAACAAGTACAAGGAAACAAGTATGAAAAACATGAAAAAATGGCACAAATAAATGGATAAAATAAGCAAAACATAGCCGTAAACACATAAAAAGAGTACATATAAATGGGGCAGTAAGACAGGGACGGTGGTCACGCTGGTGTGCTTATGCACGCGCCCTTAGGGATCTCTTAAGAAATGCGTGAGGTCCAGGGCAGACAGCTTAAGGTAAAAGGTATGGGGGTTAGAGGAACTAACAACAGGATCAGGTAGGGTGTTCCACATATTTACTACTCTATTGCTGAAATTGTCTTTCCTGCAATCAAGATTCAAATGGATTACATTTAGTTTATATCTATTGATAACCCTTGTGTTATTGCAGTTGAAGTGAAAGTAGTCATTAACTGGTAGGACATTATGGCAGATTATCTTGTGCACTAAGCTCAAGTCAGAACGTAAACGGCGTAGTTCAAGGTTATCCAGGCCTAAAATTTTAAGCCTGGTGGTATACAGAATTTTATTACGAGCAGAGGAGTTGAGTACTCTTCTT